ACATCTCATCACAAGTGGCCACTTCGGCCTGATAACCTTCCCTACTAAGGATGGGTGGGACCTTCAATTCCCAACTGCCACAATTTGTATTGAAGCTTTTCATGATTTACTCTATCGAACGCTTTGGACAAGTCAAAATATATAACGTCCACACCCTTCCCCTTGTTAATAGCTAAATTCCAGTCAAACAGACAATCGGCCATAAGAGAAGATTCGATATAGCCAATGTGCAGCGGGCAAACTTCTTATTTTCAGATTTTCATTTTGGTATTAGTACACATGAAACTGGAGAAAAAGTGAACAACCGGAAACGGCTGATTTCTTCCCCAAGCTAATTTCTCTCAAAGCCACATACAACCTCCCCGCCCCCTCTCCCAACAACCACCAAATACGGCCCATTCAACAGCGGAAAACTACCACCCATGTGACACAACGATGCTGAACCTTGCGTTCGAAAATACTCGTCCAGTGCCAAGCGGAACCGTGGTCCATGAATAGCGCCGATATTATTGTTTACTAGGGATTATGAGCACCTATCACTTTCATGGGAATGTGACTTTTCACCATGGAGTCCTAAAATTGCAGTTATTGCTGCTGAAACCCGCTTTTGGGGGATTCGCTTCGCTAAATGCAGTTCTCTGATTGTGCTACAACTCAACAAAGCGATGAAAACTGGGTTGAACACGTAGCCGAAAAATGTTATTGGGTTGTTCGGAAAGAAATGCGCGTTGAATTTGTCCATTTATTTCTCTCCTACTATAGAAGATTTTTCAAAACAGTTTTGTCTATTAGAAAGAGATTTTTATTGTGCATCTTTTGATATATTTTTGTCTATGTCTACTTTGTTTTTTTAGAGAAAAAAAGTTACTTCTTCTCTCTTCTTACTGCGTCGTCAAGGTGTCGAAACGACGTCGACAAAACTCCTCCACGACAACGCTCGTCCACATGTCGCGAAAATCACTTTGGAAAAAATTGAGGAATTGGGCTGGGAAGTCCTGCCTCATCCGCCATACAGCCCAGACCTGGCACCATCCGATTACCATCTGTTCCGGTCGATGCAGCACTTGAGAGGAAGTTCGCAAACCGCGAAGAAGTCCAACTCTGGGTGTCCAACTACTTTGAGTCGCAACCGGCCGAGTTTCGTTCGAGAGAGGAATCACCCTTTTGCATTAAAACGTTGGCAACAAGTTCATTGGATCAGTAAATGGAGATTATCTTTTTGATTTTATCTTGTTTAATTCGTTTTTATTAAGAAGAAGAATTTTTCAACTCAAACTGCGGCATTTCTTCCCGAACAACCTAATATTTTGGGGAGTGAAGTGGGCGGAGCCCAAAACCACTACAGTACACTTGACCTGGGAGAAAAGGGAAACCGGCAAGCTCGCGAGAACAACTCAATACGTATTGAATCGGGAGATGGAGAAATTGCTCATTCATCTGAAAGTCGCAAAGGAGGTTGTCTACTGCAATGATACGGAGCCCTTTCATCATTTCTTCGTTCAAAGCAAGTTTTACGTTGGGGTCCCCACTTAGCGGGATCGTAGTTAATCCTCCCCTACCCCCTCTCCCTCTCCTTGGCACGGCACCTTTTTTGGAAAAAAAGGCAGAAGTGTAGGAACCTAGTGAGAACAGCTGCTCAAAAAGTGGTGAGAAGTGGGGAACATTTGGGAAGATGATAGATAGGATGGGGGATGGTTAAGGGGCGGGTGGTTTTTTGCAAGAAATTTCCCTCCAGCTGCCGTACGTGCCTTCTCTCCGATTCTCCGACGTACAGATTAGGAACAATGCCCAAAGCCGAGCAAAGCGACCGTGGGAGTCTTTGCTGTGAGATTGTTGACATATTTGCGCAAAGGATTCAAAGTGCGGGCATCGCGTCCCTGGGGAATCCTTTAGTCCGACGTTTGGCTCATCACACTTGCATTAGAAGTCCGCACATGGAGCAGAGTGAAAGGCGGGGCGATTTCTTGAGATTCCGTCATTCAGGGGTGTTGTAATGGCAGTTATGCCACAAGCCAACCCTATGGACCACGGGTCAAACATTGGATCTATTCCCACCCGGGATGGCAAGCCCTTCATTCCTCAACGTCTAGATTGCAGCAAGGTTGTTTAGGAAGAGCGGGAATACTGTCGTTCATGCCAGTTTGCTCCCAAAAACCATTGTTCAGAATAAAATGCATTCAGAATGGAAGAAAGCAACTCAATCAAGAATGGAAGTGAGACGCGCGGCGCATCCCAGATGAGGTTGAACAAAGCCAGAATTGCGACTTTCCCTTGTTTTCACACGCTCCATACATTGCCCATTTAACATCATCACAGGTAAATTCCTCGCTTATGTCATGGGCGGGGTCACGGCAGCGTATCGCTTTTTTTCATTGGTGCGGCCGTCAAAAAGGATTATGTACCAACCAATGAGAAGATTACATTTGCATAAATTATTTCACTCATCAGACCCATGCAGTATTTCTGGAAACTGTTGGATAGGTAGCTGGCACTGTGCCATAATCATATGATATTCGAAGCATTGTTGAAAAAATAGGTAGTAAACCGTCTACACGGCCCGATTGGGTGGCAGACTGCTGGGCATGGGTAGATTTGATGCCACAGAGCGCGCAAAGTGAAACCAGCGCCTCTGGCCGTAGCATCTTGTGAAGTCAGCTAACTTCGAACTTCCGCCGACCTCTTGACATTAGTGAGGATAAGAGCGTGCCTTGGTGGCGTAAGGATAGCGCACTGTGCGCCCGAAAACGTAAGGTGCAAGTCGACTCCGCCTGGGGTTAAAACTTTTGCCTTAATTCAGCATTCTTTGGCGGATATGTTGGAAGCCGATTCTGCGGCGTTGAAACAGCAGTTATTAAGCAAAATAATTTAAAAATAGTTCAAAATGTTAAAGCACAAAATCCATTAAGCTAAAAAGGTGAGAGGTGATCAGCCCGCATATGGTATTGCGCGCGCTCGATCAATGGGAGATGCGGTTTGTGTCCGGTGGAGTCTGACTTTCTGCTCATAAATCAGTGTCATTCCTTGGTACAAGCAAAAAAGTACACTCGAAATCCTAAGTATTGGGTAGTGCGTGGCTTCATGGCTTTAAGAGCATGTTCGCACTGCACAAATTACGGGAAACGGAAGAATCAATAGGCATTCTGGTGAAAAGTGCGTAAGTTTTGATCTAGTGGAGAGAAAGCGGCAGAAAAAGCGCTAGCTAGTAGCTAGCAGGCCGTGAGGTCGGCATGGGCCTAAGGGTGTCATGGCCTAATTAGTCAGGTTCCTAGTTGGAGTTGCGTTGCCGTTTTTTAAGTTTGACCAGTAGCCGGCAGCTCTCCAAAACATCGCTTCCGGATCGTCGCGACACATTATTGAAAGTCACAGCTTATTTTTATCGGAATGTGCCTTTAACTTAACCTGAAGGAGACTATGCTTCTGGTGCGATATTTTCATCTTGTCAAAAATCACAATTGTTGTAGTGTCTCTATCCAACATAGAAAAGATGATCAGTTGTTAGACGGCCACGAGTAACCAATCCTGTGCCTGTTCAAATGCCGACGGCCTACTCTCGACTCAGGGATATAGGGTGTATTCAACTCATCAATAAGATGCTTATAATAATAGTTCTTTCATGAAAAGGTGAAGAGAAAACATCTTAGAGTATTGTACACAGAGGACGCTTCAAGACTCGAAAAGTTCTGAAGCCTGCAAAAATTTTTTCGCTAATATTATAGGCACCATCTCTTTTACGGTGATAAAATGCAGAACTGGAGGGGTGACACTGCTTTTGCGTACCTACTTTCTTACGGTTGTCAGTTCTGAAGCATTTTCGCCGTGATCATAGCAAACTGTTCATAAAAATCAAATATTCTTTTTCAGCAATCGATGGAAACAAGTTAGATAGGGCGAGAGAAGTGGAAAGGAGTGTCTGGTATGTTTCGAAGAATAACCTGCGCCTGAGCGGGTTCATTACATATATTCCAGATGGCTAGATACGGTATCTAATGTCGCCGATAGTAACAGAATTAACGGTTTTTTAGAAGAGAAGTGAATAAATCTCGGAAACGACGAGAAATGCTATTGAATTATAATTTCAAGGACATCGAATAACACTCGAAGACCGCTCGAAGTAATTGTCATGGCGCTCAACAATATTATTTATGGGCTAATTAGTCAGCAAGGAAAACAAGAGCGCATGAGAATGGGCACAAGTAGCGCGCGAGACGCAGGGGCAGCACAGCTGTATTAAACCCATCAGAGAGGCATATTTCGTTGCTGAAGGTCGCATTTGTAAACTGGGAAAATAGCGACAAGACAATCGTAATAAAGATCGAGCATTTTGTGGCGTTGGCAAGGTACGGCCACGCCCTTAAAAAGATAAAACCTGACCGCTTGGATTCGTGTGTCAGAGGGATGGGAAAATCTGATGCCGCCAGTTATAGAGTCTTGTCTCCTCTTGAACTTAAACGGTTCTCGCTGCCATAATCGGCAAAATAATACACCTCGAGAATTTGCAGCGCACGGGCGCACGGTAC